GAATAACGGTCATGAAAAGTGCTAGCTGCCCCTGAAAAGTAGCCAGCTATTAACACGAAACAAAAATAATAGGTGAACTTTTTTTGGTCTGTCTTGCTAAAAATCTCAGTCTTCACCAGGGAAGCTAAGCAAAAGGTTAAATTCTCGCTTCACAAGCCAGTGAACTGCTGCCAATTGCAATGGTGCTTTTCAACGTGGACATCCACTCATTATGAAAGGGCCAAGACTCCTAAATGAGCACTGACCATTGCACAGATGTTGGGTGGGGCTTCCAAAGCTATAATGGGATCTGAATTCCCTACAGGGTAGTGGAATCTGACTTACAGAATTCCTTAGTCAGCTTTGAAAACCAGCTGTAACGTTTAAAAATATCCAGTCCCGTCTGACTTTGATACAGCGGCCTACAAGATATTATCAGTTTCGTTGACTTTTGCTCACTAGCCTCTCTAAAGAGTGACTGTGTAGGAAGCAGCCAAGATAAACTAGTGAGACATTGCCTCTCATACCACGACAGCAGAATACATGAAGAATAACAACGGTAAGGAAAAGGTCTCCTTAAAACAACAAAATAGCAGCTTTTGTAATGACTCAAAATCTGTGCTGTGAAATGTGGCATTTTTGACACCCAACCATACAGCCTCCTAAAGAGTGAGTAAATTTGGCAGGACTCCTGATGCAAAATTGTCTTAATTCTCCTTGACGGCACATCAGCTCTCAGCTGAAGTTCGCTGAGTTTTAATCACTGCTGGAATCAAAGGGTCTTTCTTGGGCAGCTGGAAAACTAGGAGAGGGAGCTCACATCATCGTGACCAAAGGCCACGCTAGAGGATCCACATCTGCAGGGGCAGGAACTAGTGACCTCTCAGCTTTGGGCCAGATCAACGTCATGGAAATAGAAAAAGTTGAAAGCACTGACTATCACACTTCCTATTAACCAAATTCTCTCACCACCTGAAACTTATATAAAATCCCTGCTAGGCGGGTGTCTATGTTTCAAAGACCAAATGAGAACCATGTGGAGGATCTTTGGCTTTGTGATCATGTTTATTTTTTTAGCTTCATATGGGGAGGAGCAACGGTCCATAAATCTATAATTACTACTATATAAGCCACTGCTATATATTGTAGCTGGAGCAAGTTAGAAAGAATATGAGCCTTTCATATAATACAGAGCATTGGCTGTGATGCTGCTGTGGTAAAAGACCGAGTTGTTGAATTTAGCCAAGAGAATTATATGATGTGGGCGCCTGCAATAGCAGGAAAACAACCGTGATGTTCCAGCTGTGTGTCAAGTACTTATGAAAACAATTAACGTTCCAGCATTGCCCTTTAGTCAGTTGTTTTCTTTCCAACTCTGCATGGTAAAATCTTTTTAATACTCTACATTTTTTTTCTGTTGTCTAATATCTCCTGTGCAAAAGAATCACACAAAATGCTGTAGGTTAGATATTCAAGCCTCAGCTCCACATACAGAAAGGTTCTGATGGCTTGTCTTTCAAAAAGTTCAGAATAAATGACTTAATTGGCATTAACTTGGTTTGTCTGTGCGTGTTCATAAGGAAGTTTCAAAGGATGCTTCACTTTTAATAAATTATAGCTATTTCCAGCAGGAAGGAGGAAAGCATGGCTCTACTCTTCTGTGCATTGTTTCACTACCAGATCACCGAAGTCTTTGGTATTTCAGCTTAAAGCACAATGACCTAAATAGTCTGAGAATGTTATTTTTCTTACTAAGAATTATATGTGGGAGCAGACTTGGCCTCTCAGTATCACTAAGGCTGAAGTCTCCTGACCTCTCTGTCAGTCAGCCACACATAGGCTTTTCTAATTAAGTCTCCCTATTGGATTTGTCTGGGCTATTTCTATCCATGTGGTTCCCCATGAGGAAGAGTAGTCAAGTCAGGAAGGAGACCAGATTTAGAACCAAAGACTGGATCGCTTGTCCTGCTGCAAAAGTCACTTCAGATTTCAAAGATGTTTGAACTTAAGGACCCAGGATGGAAGATGGGTGAAAGATGGGATTAGATGAACACATGGGATCATGAGACTGCATTTGTCTGCATCAAAATGCACCTTGGCAGAAGTGAGTTAAAAGAGGTATGGAGAATGAACAGGACTAGCATAAGGGAAGAAGAGGGTGCAGAAAACTGGGAAAGAGTATTGCTTTTTTAAAGGAGGAAACAAATAGTGGGCTATAGAAAAGAGCATGAGGGCTTCTAGGAAATCTGGAGAGAGACAAAACAGTCTAAAGAGCTGCATCCAGTGCAACAGGGTGGGTTTGCAGCAGTCAGCCACTAATGAAATAAAGATGTTTTACAAAAATTCCGTACTCAAAAAGGCTCTTTTACCAAAGTGACAGTCGAGCTGAATACCTCAGGAGCGGTGACCTAAAATCCTGGTCATACCTACCTACCTACCTACCAAGGCTACCAGATGGCCAAGACTGTAATTAGGAGGCTACAAGGCTAAGCTGCTGAGTTCCTAGCTCAAAATTAAAACCTTTTCTCAAATTCCAGAGGCATACCTGGGCTCAGGCTGGAGCTGAACAGTGAGTGGGGAAAGATTATATATTTGGCTTTCACTAACACGAATGAATACTGAAGCCTTTTAAATCTGCCCTCTGTTTACCAGCTCCATGGGCAGCAGATTAATACTGGGGTTGCTGTGTACAATAATTAGTTCTCAAAGATATTTAATTTTGTATGTTATATTTTATGCTTTATGATATTGTGATGCAGAAGACAGTACGTCCACAGTGTTATGAAAGGAACCCTGATGAGCTGAACGTTTCCTGTTGGAGTTATTGAATTTATTGGAGGTGTTTGGTTTTTCTTATAATTTGGTTCTTTAGAAGCCAATTGAGTACTTTTTGGGGGAAGCTGGCCGAGTTATTGAATTTATTTGAGGTGTTTGGTTTTTCTTATAATTTGTTTTTTTAGAAGCCAATTGAGATTACTTTTTGGGAAGCTGGCCTGTTTGGAATGACACTACCAAAGTTGGTATACACAACAGAGAAAAAAAATTCTTCATTTGCGTTTCTATTTGTAAATATTAATCTATATAAAATAATAATTAAAAGCATATGTTTATAGTTTACTAGGATTTAAATGAATTAGGTATTATATTTAGCATTCCAGTGTTCATACAATAGCCTTTAGACATCCCTTTAACAGGAGCTATGGGATATTGGGTTGACTCATCAAAACTGTTAGTCTCATGGCCCGTTTTCCCCCAGTGATTATTTGACTGTAACAATACAGCCTAGCATATGGCTATACCAAGCCCGTTCTCTAACAATAGCCCAGTTAACGTCAGTATTTCACAGGGATTTGGCTGGTGTTCTGGAGGATTTGATTTTTTTGAAGAGTACAGTGCAAAAACAAAGAACATTAGCTGGGAGAAGATGCCTCAGTGCTGGGAATGAAAGATAGAAGGACCAGTATAGAGAGCAAAGTGACCTAAAATACTTTTAGATGAGTTATAATGCATTTGTTTAATGGATGAAGAAAAACTTTTCACATTTGCTGAAATTTTATATATGTATATATACACACACACATATATAAATAATAATAAAGATTCACAGGACTATTAAGGGGTCAAGCTAAGGAGGACCGGGATGCTGCCATTGTGGAAATTAGGTGACAGAGCTACAGAAACTCACATTTATTTAAGCCAACTTACTGCTAAATGAATATGAAATACTGTAGCTCAGCTTTGAGTCTTCCCAGGCCTGGAGATATACGCATGACTGTCTGCATATGTGGACACATGTAAAATCATAGCTGTTATTAAAATAAGAAGTTTTGGCAGGGTGCATTAAATTTTAAATAGAATCTGTTAGACATCGATTTCCAGGAGCAGTCTCAAAAGAGGAAAAAGTAAACCCAGTCTTGGCCAAGGAATCACAACTACTGCAAAGAAAGCATCCTCTGTTGAGCTATATGATTAAGATCTGGGCTTTTTAAAAAGTTCTTAAATCTTTTCTTTTTTTAATTACCAGTTAGCTAGCATAGGTAAAGATACTGATGGAAAACACAGTTTGATTTCTCCATCTTTACTTTTTTATATTTAATCAGTTCTCAAGATTCTTGATTCTTCTGTTCTTTTTATTGTTTATTGAACAGGATGTAAGTATGAGAACTATGAGTGTTACACAGTTTTTGTTCTAGCTAGGTAAAATCTTTGGAAACATGGATACATGGCAGACAGCAGTAACTGTTCATGCACTGGCAAAGGTCCCAAGCAGCAAACAAAACCTTATGAGTTGTTTTATTAAATCATTTCAACACTGCACAAGAAATTTGGGTCCTACTGAAATCAACAGAAATTTTGCTATTAGTTTCAGGGCAGCCTTAATTTTACTTTTTGTTCTCAAGTATCATGAACATGTGTGTGATATACTGTCAACTGAGGATTATCTGTTGCCAAACGATCCCAGCAATGAATTAAAGACCTAACCCAAACTATCTTCAGAGCCATTAGAGATACCCTATGAAGCATTTTTCCTTACGCTTCCAAAACTATTCTGTATCTCACCTTCTCCTTACAAAAGAGAAATGTTCCAAGGACAGCATATTCTAAGCTTTAATTAACATATGCTTTGTATTATCTCTGTTGTGTGTTGTGCTTTACCCAAATGGTCTTATACATATTTTCACAGGTGATCATGAGCTGAATATAGCATGTGCATGTGCCTGACTTCATGTGAACACACTCAGTGCACACTCTTGATCCCCTTACGTTGTTCTTCCTGGATCCAACCCTTCCCCATTCTGAAGCTTTTTAATTTTCTCCAGAATGCCAAACCAGGTTCCCACTCCTATTGGCAGCTTGTGATAGGATAAGTAACAAAAAAGAACAAGTCAGATATGACATGTGGCAAATTTAAGCCTCATCAGCTGAGGGACTTCTCAGAGTTTCAATGTACATCCTCTTCTGGCTGCTGGTACTACAATGTGTAGTCATTTGGGTGCTTGCAAGAAATAAAGTCCAAGTACTTTTGTTTGGTTTTTGCAGGTTTTATTGATACTTCATTTTTCAAATTACAGTTTCTTTTGACCTAAAATAATAGCTGTAGGGCTTATTTTGTGCCATATTCAAAAATTTTCTTGAAAAACTACTTTCTTGAAAGGTCTACTTTACTTGTTCAGAAAGTTAACTAAAGGAAGCCACTCGTTCATCTGGTGTGACACAGTTGTATGGATATACAATTGTTTGACAAACCCATCCAATAGCTGTGACTTTCTATCTGCTGTAAGCCACACTGTCTCCCAGTGGCTGGCTCTCCTGGGACGTAAGTCCTTCACTGGGAGCTTCACTAGGGCTGTTTTCTGCAGATGGCTCTCCGTTACTTGCGTTTCCTGAAAAGACAATATAATTAAGATTAAAATAAATGTCGTATTTTTGATGCAGCAAGCTAGAAAGTATACACTTTGTCAATGACACTCAAGAGCGTTTTTACATAGCTATAAATGTTCAGGAAGCTATTTTTCTCAGTTTGCAGTTCATTTCCAAAATGCTTTAGGGTAATGACAGATCACCTAATGGTAATTAATTATCATGCTTCCAGCATGCTTTAAATAACTGCCACTGGAATGCATAATAGTTTGCACTCCACCTGTGCAAGACTTGTTCTCTTTTTTGTATTATCTCCTGATACTTACCTACCAGGCAGGAAGTGTGGGGAGCATTATTTTTTTGTCTGTCTGGAATACATAAAGCCCCAAGCACCCACCGCTGATAGATCTCTTCTTCCTTATTCTTTACCTTCTGTGATTTTAGTCTTCCACCCTGTTTCAGAGGCGCAGTTGCCTCAACAAGACCAAACTGTGCCATAAAGCGTACTGATGGTGTTTATTTAAAGTATCCTATCCAGAGTGCTCTTGTTGCACAGATGTCCCTCATACTAAAGGAATCTGTTTTCTAGTGGAGATTTCCAAAAAGAAGGTGTGAAGAGAACGGGTAAAAGATGAATGCTAACCACAACATTCCTGATTCGGTCTTGATTCAAGTCTGAACTATAAACACTGTTGCTTTAGTTGGACTCCTGTGTGGCTACACATGGTATCTCAGAGCTAATGGAGAAGGCTTCGGCTTTGCTAGCTGTCAAATTTTCTACAGGTGGGGTCCAGTCTGGCTAACTTGGACACGTAAAGTATGCCTAAATGTCTAAATTTAGGCAGAGTTAGGCAGACAAGATTTCACTTTGGAGACACTAAAGGTACCTCCTTCTCCCCATCTGCAACACTGCTTACAGAGGCACTTATTTTAGGAGGACTGTTTCTATTTAGATACCAGTTAGATGAGTAAGAGATGTAGACTAGATCCAAGTCTACCTGTTTGGGATGCAGTGAGAAGCCCCTTATAAAGGGACTCACTCTTACGCAGTGCAGTCCACCACGCTATGCAAGGGGAATTTTAGCATTCAGACATACTGTCTGAATATGCATAAACATTCTGGAGCTCCTGTTTTTCACTGAATTTCAAGTTGTTAACACATTCCCTGGAAAAAGCCATCCACAGCTTTTTTCCATAATGACCACTCCTCTTGTTTTTGGTTTTGATGTTTCCCATGGAAACCATCATGATTCAGAATATAAAGCATGTCTTTGAAATGCAACCATGGGAACTCCATTTACTAAATCCAAACCTTTTCAAGCACCATCACTTTCATAATTCCCCAGATAAACTGCCCCCCAAAACGCCAACTTTACAAACTGGTTTCAAACAAAACTTCAACAGATTTATAGATCGTCTGCAATGAAACAGATTCAAACTTTCCTCCATAATTTGTAAAGGCACTGCCAGTAAATACCATGAAGAATCATTGCATTTATGAAATTACTTTTGTTAAATTATCTTCAATTATGACAACATACATTTCAATTATATGCCAGGAAGAAATGATACATTCTGTCATTAAATATTGCAGTCTGATCACAAAATGAAACACCTACTTCAACTTGGACAATATTTTTACTAAATGGAAAGAAAATTACAGGTAACGGTTAAGCTGGATATATACACAACAGCTTCTAGATCCAGCAGTGAATAACCTAAAAGACATGTAACTTCAGCTGTACAAGAGAGTCTACATATGAGAGGTTTTATTCCAGAAACTGCAATTTATGAGTTTAAGAGTAACTCAGTTTTCTATTGGACTGAGAACTAGGTTCTAAGATATTGAGCTTTGAGCCTTTAATTATCCCTAATTCGACATTTCTAAGTCAAGACATTTCACATGGCAGTAAACAAAGGATCAAGAAAAAATTTTGAAAAGCTAGTTGCAGTTAGATTTTGTGATCACTGGTTTGTCCTGTTCTTCTCCATTTCACTGAAATATATTGATTTTTTTTTTTTGCTTATAGATCACAGATGATACATGAACCTGGAAAGACGGTGGCAAACTTTTTAGCAGGGCCTGTTGCGACAGGACAAGGGGGAATGGCTTTAAACTAAAGGGGGGTAGATTGAGACTAGATATAAGGAAGAAATTTTTTACGCTGAGGGTGGTGAAACACTGGCACAGGTTGCCCAGAGAGGTGGTGGATGCCCCATCCCTGGAAACATTCCAGGTCAGGTTGGAGGGGGCTCTGAGCAACCTGATCTAGTTGAAGATGTCCCTGCTCATTGCAGGGGTCTTGGGCTAGATGACCTTTAGAGGTCCCTTCCAACCCAAACTATTCTGTGATTCTATGATTCTATGAAAGATATTGACTTGAAGGAAGAGGTGAGATGGACAAAACGGGATCCATCACAGTTGGTTGAGATTGCATCAGAATAGACCCTCTACAGCTTTGCACTTGGATGTGAAAACTGGATTGTTTCATTAGCAATGCCGCTTGCTGCCACACTTGTAAACTCCTTCTACTTGGCACAAGGCCACAAATTGCAACCCACAACAATTGAGACTCAGCAGTCAGAATGAACAGTGTATCATACAATCCAAAAACACTATCATGAAGATTTATAATTACTGAAAGGCAGGAAACTGCTCTTTTTTCCACTAAGTATGTGTTAGATTGGATCTCAGAGTAGCTGACTGACAAATAGTTTCCCCTCAGGATGGAGTGCAAGGTACATCATCCAAAAATGTTTTGCAGCATTGCTCTCTCAAATCTAGCATCCAACTTCACGCCAGGATCCCATACGACAGCCTGGCAGCACTCCAGGAACAGTCTGGAGCAGTCAGGTAACAACAGATGTGCATTGCTTCGGCTCTGAAGGGAGGTACAGCAAGTTACCTCTGGTGCAAGGAGGCACACCAAATGACGTTTGAGGACTAAAAAAAAAAAAAAAAAAAAGGAAGATTTCTGTTCTCTTGACTGAACACATTCAACAGTCTCACTTGTCCACTCCTGAAGAATGTGATTTTTGGTAGCAATGCAAGTGGTGAACTTGTACTGATGGACTGACACTGCTTTGGCATGAATTTTGGCACAACCTCCTCTCAAAAAGAAATTGAAGGTGTTCAGCTATCAGCATCTGAAGTTCATACAGTCCTTCTAGCTGAACTGATGAACATTACAAATCTTTTTTCACAAGGAGGTGGACTCAGATTGTTATCAAGACACCCACAGCAGGAATCTCTGTAAGTTACCATCTCATGGTCTGGATGGGAGGTCTGGAGCAGAAATAGGTTTGATGTGATGCCTATTTAAGAAGAAGTCATATGAGAAGTTTCAGTAGTCCAGGGTGAGATAAGATTAAAGATGACTATCGAAGCAAGGTGACAAGCCAATGTTGCTGTGAGATGGAATTTAGTAGAAGTGAACTGTGTAGCTGCATTACCATGGTGCTGAGGCCAAGCAAATACTGGCTTGAAGAGCAGGCAGGGTGTACTCACTTCTGCTTGCAGAATAACATGTTGACATGTACTTTTTAAACCTTCTCCTTGACAATCTATACTCCATAAATCTCACACTGTGTGGCTTGTTTTAAAAAATTTGACTAATCTTTGTGAACTCTTTCAGTGTGTTTTTCTCTCCCTCTCTTGATTTTTATGTTTAACATTCAAGTATTTGGTTTTGGCCACTGACGAGGGCAGGATATTGAGCTAGGCAGACCATTGGACTGACCCATACACAAATGTTGTTGCATTTTTGTGCCAGTTTGGATGGTTTTAAACCTTTTCCATCTCAAAAACAATCTGCCATGGTAGATATTTTCCCACCTTTTTTCGGGATTTTCTGTAAATGCTGGGAGTAGCCTCTGTCCGTGGTGCTCGGTCAACAGTCGTTCTGCCAAAGCTGTGACTTCAACTCAGTCTGGTGTTACACAGCCATAATGTTGCGAGATTAAGTCCCAAAAGATCTAGAAGCTATACCCAGGACTGTTTAAACATCAGAATCAAGCTTTGCAAATTAGGAATATCTTGACCAGCTGAAAGCCATCAGAGAGATCAAAATATCCTCTCTGAACTTGAAAGACACTGAGGGATACCAAGAAACTGATGAAAAGGCCTACAGCAAAATCTTGAGTCCACTTTTGAAGAAAGACCATGAGTAATGATTCAGGCTATCTCTTGAACAAAAGCATTGATGCTTTGTGTTTGTGTCAGAACAACCAATTTGATGGTTCTGAGACATTATAGTATTGCATCACTCAAACATCAGCCTCAGTCCATTTGAGGTGGTCTGTCAGGCATAGATAGCCTAGGTAGCTCGATGTCTTGGAGAGTACATTTTGTTCCCAGAAATGCAACTGCCCTCCAAAGCAGAAAGGGCCTGGACTGTGTTCACTGTGAAGATGAGCCCTTAGGTCATAAAAAACACTTGTAAGCTTGCAGGCCTCCAAGAATAATTCAGAACATCTCAGCCTGCCAAAAAGGGATGGCTTTGTTTGCTTTTCTTGAGGCTATCCAAATTTATTTACAACTTACACAGACATGAAGGGGAGTTTATTTACCAGAATAAATTAAGTGTTCAGGGCAGAGCAGCAGATTGAAATCTGAGCAGAGTTGGTCTTACTGTTCTAAGCAGTAAGAAAAAATTGAAGGAATCTCACAGCTGCATGGAAATTTATGGAGACAAAGGAGAAATACAAGGGGCATAACCAGCACAGTTATAAAAAATCCAAAGAAACTATCTAGCGTGAAGTCAAAGCATGCAGGATCCATATTGAGATATATTTAAAGCCTCAGTTGTAACTTTACAGTGGATAGAAGTTACTGTGCTACTCCTAAGTCATATGAATCTCAACATTCTCATGTTAGGTGCTTCCAGTAGACAAAAGAGGCCACTTCCAGTTTAGTCAAAGTCTATATTATGACTGCAAATAGAGAGAGAACTATTAGAAGATATAGCTTCACCATATCGTCTATAATCACTGCAGGAAGATCTCTCTAGCTCTAACTCCAGGACAATGAAACTTCATTACACACTGTCTGCTCTAAAATAAATTTGTTTAGTGTTGCATCAGGAGAGTCTCAACCATATACTCTGGACAGTGCAAGATGTTTCATCTATGAAAAGTATGTTTCCACTTTGACATAACTATAATATTAACAGGACTACAGACAGAGGGAAACATTAAGCAGAGAATTTAGGTTTTATTTAATGACAGAAAACATTCTGCTCACCTGTGGATGCTTTCAGTCTTCTGATATAATCAGACCAAAAGGAACAGTCCGCTTTTTTCAATCCTTTAAGAGTTGGCAAGGAAACAGTGAACTCCTTGTAGTTATCACCATCATCATTTGGCAGATACATAGGCCAGGGGGGCATCACCCCTGACATTCTTCTTGAGAAACTATAAGGGTAGTTTGGATTTCTAAGGGAACGGGAGAAATGATCATTAGAAAACAATGACATGAACAGTAAAATGCAAAAGGAGACCGTCTGGGTCAAGGAAATGTGTATGCAGTCACTCCGACCAGTAGGGTTCAAATTCAGTCCAGACTGGTGAATCGTTCATGGTGTCTCACCTGACAGTAACTTGCTAGTCTGGTTTACTTCCTAAGGAACAGGTACACAGAACCTTTATAGACACAGGCTCATGAACACCCTCAACAGGCCTCGGTCCCAAAGCAACCCAAGATACTCCAAAAAGCACGTAAAGTCACAGTTCCCACACTAGCTTTCCAGAGATACTCCTCATTCTCGAACATGGCCACAGCACAGTAAAGTGGAGGGTTATTCACAGGATAGTTGGTAAAGGATGCACTGTGTCTTCATGTGCTTTCCCCTTTCTTCTGGGAATAAGGGAACTCTTAGCCAAGACCCTTCAGAATTGGAGTCCTAGAACTAAGCTCTGGAAACAACACCAGGGTCTTTGTAGACCCCCTATATTTAAGTAGAATTTGCAGCTGCTCCACGGAGATAAAATTGCTATTACTTCTAGCTAAGTGTCATACTACAAATCTTCAGTATCCGCTTGACAACTTGGCCAAGACTTTCCAACAGTGTTGACCAAAGCCCCCTCTGTAGGATTACAAATTGCTAGAGGAAATGGAGGCTACTGGAGTGAGGGCAGGATCTGGACTACATTCCCTCTACTACTCACCCCCTCCCCAATCACAGCAATTCTTAAATGTCACATACTTACCCAGAGTTTACAAAATTGGAGATATACTGCATAATTTGCAAGGAAAGGCTCTTTTCTTCCAGAGTAAATTGTTCTTCATACTTCAGGTAGAATGGCAGTCCAAATGCATACTGAACATCCAGCAAGAGCTCCTGACCTGAACTAAAAAAATGTTTATATAAAGATAATTAAAACCATCATTTATTTATCTGGGGGAGAAAGGGAGCTAATTTAATTCAGAGAATAAAGCGAAGTTTTAAATAATTAATGACCATTAATTAGAGTGTGGTGAGCTGTGGGGTTTCTTCAAATCAGAACATAAAAGAAGAGCAAGCAATAACAAGGAAAATTTGCCATTAAGTTAATTAGGGTCTTTAATATTTGTTACAAGAGGAAATTGTGGAAGACAACAGGGCATATTTTCTAAATTAACTGGGTATATAAGAGAAAGTGATAGAGGGAGAAAGCCACTTGGTTATTCCTTAAATGCCTTTTAAGCTTTATACAGATTTTCACTAAAATTAAATTCAGAAAGTGGAAGCAAGCGCTGACATGGAATCTGGCAGCCATGATGGAAGGTTAATTATGGTTTATTTCACAGATCTGGAATAAAATCCTGGCCTTTCTTAACAGCAATTGGAGTTTTTCCATTGAGTATATTGGGGCCAGCATTCTGCCCCAAATCGTTGGATAAGTAAAGAGTAATAGGAGATGTTTATGAAGATTTCTCTTAGCTTTAATCTAATTTCTCTGCTGGCTAGGTGGTTTTGGTTTACACAGTCTGTTCTCCCCAAGTTTTATATGGTAGCCAAGTCAAAACAGGTTGACATAATCACCTGGATCAGATTTAAGAAAGAATAATTGTTGTTTACTTCCATGTAATAATTAACACATATAATAAGGAATATTTCAACAATTCAGAGACAAGACTGGCCAGGCAAGACAAAATTTGTAGGACCCAGTAGCAAAGGTTACATAACATATTCAAGTCCTGCAGAAAAACAGTGGGCAACTTCTACTAATAAAATTATAACTAAACTGTGCTCAACACATAGCTTTGAACCACAGCTCAGAAGGAGACATTTCTGGTATGGAGTCCAATTGTGTTTTCTGTATCCCACATTTAGACAAAGGTCTTATTGACTTGGTTAAATGCTGCTTGAAGGCAGACAGCATCAGGGGACCTGGGAGAAAGAACAGATGTCTGTGAGGCTAAGACAAACAAATCCCAGATCCCCTCAGCAAGATTTCATCTGCAGTAGCTGCAGAGGTTGTTGTCGAAAGGTGGCACAACCAAAACTATTTTATCTTTGGACATGAAATGCAGCAGCATTGATATGACCCTGATGCTGCCTCTAATAGAACAAGGCTTGTAGTTCAAACCATTATGGGCAGGTGGACTGAAAGCAAGATGACTCTCTCACTTTTTATGAGTGGTGGCACCAAAGCCTCTATTTTGAAAAACAAACACACAACCCTCTAAATGAAATACATCTTTGGTTGTATTTTCCTTAGTCTTATCATAATACCTCAGTAATACTTTGCATCTGGAAAGTGAATTATTCACAGATTATTCATCAAAAAAATGTAGAATTGAAACAAGATTAAAGCATATTTCTCTTCCCCAAATGTTTATAGAAGGATTAAGCAAGATCATAGTTTAATAATTTTACTTTAAAAATAATTTGCTTGGCCCAGTATATTACAGCAATGTTTAGTGTCACTATTGCAGCAAAGGTACTATACACTTAAAGGAGCTATTTTCTTTTCAATAAAGAGTCACTTTACAATAGAACAGAGGACATGAAATTAGTTAAGATGCAATGAAGGGACAAATGCACCCATTTAGGGAAGGCATAGCAGAGGCGAACTTTGCTCTAAGTCTAAAATGAGTGAGCTGGGACTGAGGGTTTCCCCCCAAATGAGACTCTCTTCTCAGCCCTCAGGTTTCTAGAGGTGAAATCTGTTAAGGTCGCAGCCCAGAGTAAAATTCAGCAAACTCCTAAACAGAGAACTTATTAGGATTGAAATTATTTGTATAACTGTAATGGGTTTGATACAGAGACATAAAGTGGTACAAAACTACAACTTAATGAGCTGCTTTCAATATTTCTGGTTGATGCTACCACATCCTGGCCAGGGAGTATCAGTAGTAAGAGGATGAGAAAGAAAACATAAGACTAAGAGGGGAAAGAGGCACATATATATGTGCACAGAACAGCAGTAAAGACAACTGTGAAACATTTAGATGGCAGCTAGATGGAAAATATCAGGGGAACATTTCTGTCTCCTCCCTCAAACTCTGATCATCATCCATTACTGCCAAAGTGGAGTGCAAAATGGCCAGAAACACCCAAACAAGGATTTTGGAGTCTTGTAGGAGCTCTGAGCATACTCAAGGTAGCACCAGGTACTAATACTGTTTTCACTGGAAAAAAAGTGGAGTGATAGAAAGAGAGGAGTAACAGATAAGCATGTATAGCTTTGCTGTTGCACACTGTTAGCTCTGCAGGGAGGTTTGTCTCTGCTGAGCTGCTCCAGACTGCACTCCTGAAACCCCAGGGTGCCATATAGGTGACTCAACAGCATCAACTCTAAATGGGGAAATGCAATGCCCAGCTACCTGTGGACTTCAGAGGACAGTTTGATAAAAGGGAGGACTGCAGAGACAACAGCAAAAGGGATTTTGAAAGTGTTTTTAAGGAAGACAAACTAATAGCAACTAACTTCCCCTACAGAAGTATCTCTTCAAGGAACAGATCTGTTATTTTCATAACAGTGGTGAATGTTGTTACATGTAAGGATGAAAGCTTGGCTTTGGTGACTTCACAGGACTAGTACTTCATGCAAAGGTATCGCTTCAGATCTTCTGTGTATACCTTTTCTTTTTAAGATGTCAACATTTTTAGAAAGAGATTCACAGCTCTTCTTATGTGACAGTATGACAGACTGGTAAATTGAGCCATGGGGAAGCTAGGAGCCAGACCCTACCACTTTGTTCACACTAAAGTGAGCTCCCCTTGGAGAACTATTACTTCACATCAGAAGGAGGCACTACTGGAGTTCAATTATCCAGTTTACAGAAAACCAGGTAGTAAAATCAGAAACTTTGTGACATTCATAGCCAACAATTTAACGGCAGACCCTGATATATCACTTGCTGGGAATTTTCATTATACAGTGCCAACCCATTTAATTGGGAAGGTATTGGTTCTGAGAAAATTTTCCTTAAGCCCGAGATGGAGTTTCCATTTAAATGTTTCCAAGTAAGAAAGAGAGAAAGGGATTTCTTAGCCATCAGATACTCCACTGCTCTCTCTATAGAACTGTGGCTACTTTCGCATACAAAGAACAGCTTCAACAGGGAAGAGTAAAAGATGAGAAGGTCAGAATTTAGAACAAAAATACCCAGGTTATGGTTGATTTCATTCAAATTCTTGTTCCAAATCAAACAGACCATAGATGTAAATCCACATTTCCAACAGTTGAAGTGAATATCTTAACCACAAGCTTTTGGAACAGTAAAAAAAACCCAAACCCAAACAACAACAACAACAACAAAACCCAACGCAGAAATCCTCAAAAATTTTCTTTGCAAAATGGAATTGTCAATAATGGCTATCCATAATCATGGCAGTCAGAACAGAAGAGTATGATCTGGCAGACCACCATGCTATTCTATATTAGGACTGAAGGCACAACTTAGAGCTGGGGCTGCAGTGACTTCACACTGTGATCCATTGCAAATTAGGACATATACCTCATTTTGAACTTTGTCCTTGATCTAGATCTGGCTAATTATTTCATACTGGAAACTCATTTTGATGATTAATGAGTGACTATAGCCTAACACTTCTCTCTTTTTTTTTCCTTCATTTAAAAATTGTCTTTACTCTCCTAATGTAACAATTTCAACTAATCTCAAAGCCTTTTGAGTCAAAGCTTCTATTCTTAGTTGGCTTAATGAAGTATTTGTTTCATTTTTAAAACTCCACACACAGATAGAAGCCAAGGTAAATTAGCTCAAAATTCAAATGACATCCTATACAATACCAAAATATTCACAAACTTCCCACTGCTATCCAATCATTTAAATTTTAAAATAACAAGATAAACATAACCCTAGCTAGAGTTCAGCCAGAGTTACCAGCAAATTTCTCACGATGAAAAAGCAAGATGAAGAAGAATCAGTTCGTCATTAGTGAACATACCAAAGGGATATTTATTTATCAATCTTTTTAGCTGTATTGACCAATAATGATAGATATTTTAGTCCTCATAAAGCACTGATAACTATTAACAGAATACTTTTCTAATATTTATGGTCTACAAGAAGTGTGGCCATGAGTTTGCTTTTCTTTTTGTGCTTTAAAAGTTTTTACTGATAACTAGACAAGAGAACCACACAAATGGAAATTTAAACCTACTGAAGAACCTGACACCACATCTTAAATAGTATGTGGGAGGAATTTAATTAATATTTTCACTCCAAAATTCATTCTATCTTCATTCATACAAACAGTTTTAATTAATTTTCTTCATACTCCTTTTTACACAATTTTATATACTCAACCTACTGTCCATTTTATGACACAATCAGCCCCTTTTTTACACATTAACCTTCATACTTCATACTCCTTTTTACACAATTTTATATACTCAACCTATTTTATGACACAATCACCCTCTTTTTTACACAGGATACTGTTTTGGCATTCTGGTTTTTTTCTTTTTTTTTTTTTAATGAATGATAAGTTTGGAAGAAATATAGTCTAGCAGCCATATTTCTCAAGCCCAGCCTGAAAAACCCTGACCCTCAAATGATTTTCAGTTTCTCCCAGCTTTGACTAGAGATGTTGGCCAAAATTCCCATTACCCTATGTGATATGAAGCCAGGCTACACAGCCCAGTAAGCTAGGCCTAACAAAAGCCTAAGCAGATAACTTCAGAAGCTTAAGAGCCCAACCCTATTACACTGGGGACAGTAGCATCAGTAGTCATAAATGGTCTATGGGGCAACTCCTTCCTTCTTCAATGCCTGCACAAACCTTTCAGTTCAGCTAGAGCGTTGCAACCCAGCCTCTTCAGGAGGTGAAATACAGAGATCTGCCCTTTTTGTTTCAGCTACAATGATTGTCTGAGAAATTTAGAA